ATGAAAAGGAATTGAATGAACATAAGGGGTTTGAAGCCGCCTGATTCAGGCACATAAAAGATGTATGAGAAATTAATTTGCTCCGTGTCTATATTTTAGAGGTATCAGAAGTAAAATTTGTTATATTCACGGGGATCAAAAACATATTTAACCCTTAGCATTTAATCCCTCATTCCCGAATTAATCGTCTCCTTAGCTCCTTCCAAACATGTGTCCTACTTCTTTACTTATGTAATTTAGTAATGAATATGTAATTCATAATTTGTATTTTTCTTCTAATCAAATTCAAATCACTTATTTCCTAATTTTCAATATTTTTCTTATACTTTGTGAAATCAAACTAAGAAACAATTGCGAGACACGAAAGTATATTATAGAAATATTTCTTCACTTATATTAGTAGATGTTTACACTTATTAGTCGTGTAATTACAAAATGTGCTGCTTATGAAATTATTTGCTTCATTGATTTGTCTTGTCAACAATTGCTCTAATCCAAGCTTAGAGAGAAGACTCATCCTTAAAGCAAAAGGGAGATCGTTGGTGTATTACTGTGTATATTTGGCCAAAGGGAAAAATAATAACTGATGGTAGCTTCTTTCTGTTCTTTTTGTATGGATATTCTTGATTTTTTTGGATATGCACAAAAATGCACAACATTTAATGTTGTAGGAAATAACTATTGCTTCCACCTTTGCTACTATCTTGATAAATCCAAAATTCTTTGTATAAGTCTATTTAATATCTTCTCAAATTACCTATCTACTTTTTGGGCACCAGACGCACAAGGGGCGTCCAAAGCTAGTCTACCATATATTCCTTATTTCCTTAACAGAAACTTATATGTGTCAGGTGAATGGTTTATGGGGAAGATGCCGTTCATGGGCAGTTTATGGTATGCATCAGATTCAAGAGAAGTGTGATGCAGTTACGGTGCTATTGCTCACTATTTTTCTCTTTCTGAGCATACATTTTTTAAATGGCTGTGAGAGTTTCTTCAGTGCTGGAAGGATGGGGATGCTCCTTACTATCTTGGTTCTTGTCATTGTTACCCCTATTGGAAGCATTTTAATCACCTTGGCAGTTACATCACAGTTTTTTGCATGGTTGGCTGGTTTAATACTACGAAGGACCCCATTAACTCTTGCCTTTGAGGCATTCGCTGGACTTGTTTCTGGGATATTAATGAGCTTATATGTCGTGGAGACTAATGGGTATACAACAATTGGCTTCTTTTTCTTAGCTGTGGTATGGCTTGCTGTCCTGCGCACTGCACGCATGCGATTCGACTATGGTTTTTTTACTTCTTTGTTGGCTTCGGGGACTTCTCGTGCTTTGATGTACGAGAACACTAAACCGGGGTTAGTCACTCTCATGGCAGTTCTCGTCAGTTGCTTCATTGTCTACATGAGGGCTGTTTCGGAGGCAAAGGACGGACCGCTTTAATTTGCTTGGAGCTGATGTATGCATGTGTGAGGCCGTGCCTGCTGTGAGAGGCGATGGGTTTTATCTGTCTTTCTACATTGTAGTTTAATTTGATTTGGATGTTGATGGATTATGGATATGACATCTAGATGCTGTTTTGTATGCTTGATTTGAAATCTCTATTTCTGTTCTGTTCTTCATTTATTCTATTCACTGCTCTTTTGATTTGAAATCTCTATCTCTGTTCTGCTTTTCATTTTCATTTTCATTCCAAAGATTCTATCTTTCTCCTTTCTTCTGAAGCCTCATTGGTTTCCTCTTCATCTTTGTTTTGTTCCTTCCCTTACAAGTTGAAAAAAAAAACTCAACTTGTCCCTTTTCTTTGAATTCTTGATTTAAGGAGCTAGGGTTCTTGATTTATGGTAGAGAGAGAGAGAGAGAGAGAAAATTGCAGATTTTTTGATGTTCTTTGCAATTGTTATTATCTTTTTTTGCTCTAATGAGTATACTGAATTTGGCATTCTGGGTTTGTTTCTTCTGTCCATCTTTGGGCCTAATTCAAAACAATGGCAGTTCAAGTGATCTGCTGGCCTTGAAGGAATTTGCAGGAAACCTAACCAATGGTCTGATGAATCCAATTCCAGCTGCTGCAACTGGGATGGCATCGAATGCGAAGAAGACGAAGAAGAAGAAGGGAGGAGGGTGATCAAGTTGAATCTATCTGGGAAAAACCTGCAAGGGGTTGTTCCAAAATCCCTTGAGAATTTGGGACATTTGAGGTTTCTTGATCTCTCCCACAACCATCTGGAGGGTGGGGTGCCCTTGGATTTCTCCAAGCTGGCCCTGCTTGAGGTTCTTGATTTGAGCCACAACTCTTTCAATGGACAGATTCTAGGGTCACTCTCAAAAGGGCTGGAAAAACTCCACACAATCAACATCTCCAGCAATCCATTCACAGGAAACTCCATTGCTGATCTTCTTCAGCTCCCATATCTCCATGTCCTCAATATCAGCAACAATTCTTTCTCTGGCTCTCTTACCTCACCCATTTCCAATGTCTCCACAAAAATAAGAACTTTGGATTTGTCGATGAACCGTTTCTCGGGTGAGCTTCCCCAGTCTCTATACTCCATCTCGTCACTGGAGCGGTTTTCGGTCTCTGAGAATAGCTTATCCAGGCAGTTAAGCCCGGAGATCAGTAAACTTTCCCAGATGAATTCATTGGTTTTATATGGAAATAGATTCTCTGGTGGGATTCCTGATGTTTTTGGCAGTTTGGTCGGACTAGAGATTTTGGTTCTGCATCCGAACCTGTTCTCAGGGCGTTTGCCTCCCACACTGTCACTTTGCTCAAACTTGACAACACTTGATGTTAGGAACAATTCATTGTTTGGTGGCATTGATCTTGACTTCACTGGTTTGCCTAAACTCTCCTTTCTCGACCTCGCATCCAACAACTTTTCAGGGCCGCTCCCGGGATCTCTCTCCGGTTGCGGGGCGTTGACGGTTTTGAGCCTCTCGAAGAACCGGTTGAACGGCTCGGTTCCCGAGAGCTACAAGAACCTCTCATCCCTCGTGTTCCTCACATTGTCCAAGAACCGGCTCACGGGCACTATCAGTTCTTCAGCACTGTCAAAGCCTTGCTGCTCTCATCCTCACCAAGAACTTCGAAGGCGAAGAGATCCCGAGAAACGTGACCGGATTCCAAAACCTGATAATCCTCGCGTTGGGGAACTCGAGGCTCAAAGTGACCGTATTGAGATCATATACTAACTCCGTCTTCTAAAACATTTCATGTTTTGTCTTTTTGGAGGAGAAATAGCAGAAGAAAACCAACTAAATAGGAGTAAACCATGGACCATATTTTAAAATAGGAGTTCAAACTTAAACTCGCCTAAATAAGTTAATTAAATAGTACTACCTCCGTTTCTCAAAACAATTCCCCTTTTGACTTTGGGGAAGAATAAGGAAGTGTTAAATTGTAGTTGACTTTCCAATTTTGTCCTTGATGTGATGGGTAAAAGTAAGATGTGATAGTTTAGTTGTTAGTGAAAAAGTATGATGTGATAGGTAGAGTATGAAAAAGTAGGGGTAAAAGTGGTTTTTTAATAGAAAAGGGAAGTGTTTTAAGAAAAACAAAAAAAATGAAAGAGAAAGGCTTTTAAGAAACAGAGGGAGGGAGTATAACTTTTGATTAACCCTTCCGCACAAACCAAGTTGGCCGAACAAAGAAGTTGGGCGCACAACTTAAACCAAAGTTGGACTCCCAGTACTCATTAAACAAAATTAGTGACAAATAGTAAACTCCCAATACTCATTAAACAAAATTAATGACAAATAGTAGTGTTACTTGATATTTACCCCCTTTCGACATTATGCATTAGCATTTGCGATATATGACATTATATATTGATATATCTTTTATTATACATTACTAGAAATGATATTATACAATGTCAAGATTGTCATTATCTTAATTTGTTTAGCATTATGCATTCACATGTATGACTTTATACATTGGCATGATTGTCATTATATGATTACATGTGACATTTAATGTGATCTTTTTTGACACTGCATGGACATTTTAATTTAGCAATTTATTACTCCGTACGTTTCTATATATAGGGTATTGATTCATTTTTGTTGATGAAGTTTTGGGTGTGCTTTGTAATTGAATTAAGTTTGTTTACATTCAAATTTGTTACTCCGTATTTTTTTGTCGATTCAAATTTGTTAATAATGATTCAATAACAATTTACTATAAATCAAGATGACTGAACGAGAGTTCTTGCCAACAACACGCAGCATGGAAAGCTTTTCTTTAATAATCATACGATATATTTGGGCAATAGTTTGTGGAACTACTTGGCAAAGCAAGGCACATGGTGATTATGTTACAACATTATGTTCCATGGAAGAGTTGAGGAGGCACTAGAGTGTTATAAGCAAATGATGAGGCATTAACATAAATTAAATTACATTTTTGACATTACTGTCATTTTCCTAATTTCTAGAATTGTTGGAGATTGAGACGTAGAGGCTTGAACTGTATGGGTGTGTAAAAGAGTATGAAACTTTATAATTTAAAAAAAATTAAATAAAGAGGAAATTGCATGGAAGAGGGGCAGTGAAGGTCCTAATTGGAAACCAAGGATTTGAAAATTCATGCATGAGGCGGCTTAGAGTAGTGCACCAAACTCTAAGATTTAAATTTCAGCACATGTACGAATGAGGAGTTTTGGAATTTAATCATTGTTTAGTTTTGGGAGATGAATAAGTCATTGTTAAGTTAATTACTCTTATTTAGGGAAGTTTAAATTTCAACTCCTATTCTGGAATATGACAACTCTTTTACTCATATTTTAGTTCATCTCCTAAATAGTAGAAGTTTGAGGTGAAACAACAATAGGGTGAAACAAGTAGGACTCAAGAAGTACAAAATGAATTGAGCTTAGAAGGTTGTTGGGTTAGATTTAAGAAAATAAAGGCTTTGTGTCCATTTAGCCTAAATTTAAAAAAATTATAAAAACATTTAAGATGTAAAAATTGAAAAATTTTAGAGAACATGGGTAACATTAAATTATGATGGAGTATACTTTTAATACTTCATGTCAAATGAGAAATTTCAAAGCCAGGGCGGTAGGAGTAAAATAAATTCATGTCACGCACTTCTTTTTTGTAAAGCAACTAGTATTTTGGCACGGGATCGAAAGAAATTTATGTCGATTCGGAATTTATTTTAACGAAAATTTTATTTTTCAGAATAAAATAAATATATTGCTCACATGATCTTTAATACAACAAATGAAAAAAGCCAAAGTAAAATAAATAATATTTGAGGAACAGAATGTAGAGTTAACAATGTTTATTTTAATACCAAATTTTCTGAAAGATTTCAGGGTATACAACATTTTTGGTATGATTGCAAGGGTTTCTATTGTCATCTAGAACTAATATTTTTAATCTGGTCTTTGTCTTCACTTGTGAAACAACAAAATATAGTTGACCATGTGTGAACACTGACTTGGTTAAAAATAATCCCACAAATGACAATGTTTGACATTGACTTTTGTTGATTGTTATAGCAAAACATGAGGTGATCGAGAATTATCTTCTTTGGAACTTCAAAGGTAGCCCTAGATCAGATGATACCAAATTCATTCTAGGGATGTAAACTTTTTCTTCGACTCGATTTCCCGAAACCACAATTGCACCGATAACATTATTTCGCAGCTCTTGAACGAATAATTTTGTCCCATTATACAATCCAGATGTTTGGTCAATGTTCCTCAATAGCATAATCGGTACCCCTTTTTCAAGACTATTTTGTCCTTTGGGATTTCCAAACATTTGATTTCGTCAAAAACTCAACTGTTATCCAGTTGTCATCAACACCTACATCTGCTTCTGCTTGGCACGAATAATCAGAACTCAATTACTCCTTTTCATCACCAGGAATGAGTGACAAAACAAATTCATTTATCATTTCAACTACTTCGAGAGTTGGTGCCAATAGTGCTTTATCCTCATAAAAGAATAATTTTTCATATTTTCAAACACAAGTAATTTCCCAATATAAGACTTAAATTTTTCAAATTTTTCATTTTTCATTTTTCAAATTTTCCATTTTTCATATTTCAAACTTTTTCCCAATATAATTTTTCAATTTTTTTATTTTTCATATCTGCACTAAATAACACTAAAACAAAAGTCATTTCCCAAAATAAGACTTAAACTTTTTATCCCTTAAATAACACTAAATAATGTCTAGAAGGAGAAATAATATCCTATGACGGTGAACATTTGTCTAAATAATGACTAATGGATAATGACTAAAAGTGCTACATTGGGAAGTAAAAAACATATGTTGCTATTTAGGGAAAATCATTATGTTTTAGTGTTATTTAGGTAAATTCCTCTGACTATGAATATATATATCGAGTATCAATTATTTCAGTTGAACACAGCTTAGTTGCCATTTTGATAAATGAATTACGTGTTAGACATAAGTAAATTTTCCAATTTAAAAATTATATTTGAACTTTGAATTATTTACATTGATCATTCTGTATCAATGCCTATTTTTTTCCTCACATGCATGTCATTTTGTTTTAAAATATGTACTCACATTTTTTTATATTCACTCATTTCATATCAAATTTATTGCAAAGTTTTG